TAACATCTTATGTCCTACTGCCAATCGCTAACAAATATAGCCGACGTTTTCACTACGTTGATGTGTAGTAGATGTTTACAAGTGGCATTTCTTATAATATCTACTGTCGAATCATGCCACATATCCGATTTCAATCTTCATCACTGACTAAATTTGCCAAAATAAGGCAATCTGTATATAACTAATAGCACAAAGTTAAGACGTATAGTAAGGGTTATAGGTCAAAGGGAACCTTACAATAAACGGAATATAGAAACATGGAAGCACAGTTACTTAGTAGTAATACAATAAATATATAGACAATGATTGTCCGAAACATTGTACTAAAAGTATTAACTTCTCTAATACTCGTTTTATTTTGACGAAGTCCATTAAAAAATAGTTTAGTTAGATGAACTCACTCTAGAGACCCCGTAGGCTTGTTGGATTTTTAAATGCTCTCATCGTATTTGTTGTACAATATAATTGCTTATCAACCTTTATGATTTTACTACCAAACTAAGTTGTTCGGGACTCCTTCATATTACCCATTAGATACAATTAATTATTATAGGTTTCATTCTTTAATCTTGTGATTGATATAGTTCAGCAGTTGTAATCATTACACTGTGTTCAAAATTGAAAGAAGCTTTGGAGAAAATGTACATAGGAATTGCAAAGTAGCAATCAACAGCTTAGTTTTAGAAAAACATACAACCATCTAACAGCTATTTTCTCTAAGAATTATATTAATTTAATTGTAAATATTGTTTTTTTTTTAGTTGTAATTTAGCGGCTACCACGTTAAACTATGACTATTATTAAGGATATGATTGAATCATTGTTTTCCTTTATGCTACATCCCATTTTATTGTATATATAAAATTAATAATAGTGATGATAATGATAATAATGAGATAATTAATGTGATAAAGAAAGGATCTGTAAACTTTCTTATATCTAGGACAATCCACCTTTCAATGTCTTTTCTTTTTTTACCCTTTCAACTATATACGCTTAATACGTATATTCAAAAGAGCTTATTGCCTCGCCTATTCGGTTATTCCTACTTAACTCACTATTGTTTGTCTTTTTATTTTGTTCATAAGTGTGCAAGAAGATGCTAGTTACAATTTGACAATCTAAATATGTAGGAAAAACATCAAAGCAACTCACTGTTGTATTTCTTCTTTTGAGGAAATGTATTATTGAACAACAGAGGGGGGATTAATTAAAAACAGTAAGTCAATCTAGAGTATTTTGCCATCCATTCATATTTGTTTTCTGTCTCTTGTTCCTTTTTGATTTATTTCTCTCAGCTTTCTAATATTATTTGTTACTTTTATTCTAATTGTTCCTCTGTTTAGTTAGTGAACTCAACATAAATCACGATAAAATGATTTGAAATAATAAAGTCAAAGGAAGAGAGAGGGGGCAAAGAAAACCCGGTAAATGGAAGACGGAATGAACACACTTCACATTATTTTCATATATATTTTTTAATGTTTTAAAAGGCACAGAATTAGTTTAAATGAAGTGACAAAGAAAATAAAGCCGAATTCAAAGAAATTAAACTGGAAAAGAAGGGACAATTTCATTTTTATATGACTGTTGATAGATCAAATGCCATTGTATAGGAATTATGATACATATACAGTATGAGCTTGTTTATAGATAGGGTACAGTAATTAATTAACTTTATCACAAAGAAATAACGTATAAAACTATAAAATAAAAGCACGTTATAAATTTATCTGCTAGCAAGATAAGCATATATTTATTTTATCTGTTCTTGTATATATAAAGACATAACCTATTGAATAGTGTGTGTATTTGTAGGCATGGTACACACAATTCAACAAATAACAACACAGAAACATGTGAAGAGGGGAGGAGAAGTTGAGCTATAGAAAGAAAACGGAAAACAATAAACAGAAAAAAACACTAAGAACGACAGGATCAGTGACAATGATCTATGTGTTGTGGAATTAATTTATCATTCATTGTTTACCTTACTTGTATGTTAGATATTAATTCAGTTAATTATATGTTTACTTATTAGATTTTTATTTATGGTTGTATGTGTGGATGTGTTGTTCAATAACAAGCCACAAAAGAATTCAACGTTGCTACTTCCTTTTACAGTTTGACTATTATCATTGTTGTTATTATTACTATATTTATTAATATTACTATCAGTACCATCTTTTCTTTTTGTTTAACCCATCAAAAGAAAACTAATAACAGAGGGAGAAAATGGAGGATATTATAAGTGTCATTAATGTTATATTTTACGATATAAGGCTTGATCAGTTATTATCAATATGATTAAGTGAATTCGTACAATATAAAATTTTTTTACTTTACAGATTAATGTTATCTAGAAAAGATTGAAAGTCAGTAAACACTCTAAAGTTGTTTCATCCTTATCCAACATTACTAGCGATCTAATCAATAACCATTAGATTTCGCTTTAAGCACAATAAATTCCGATCATTAAGAAGAATCTAGAAGTTATATCTCTAGACTTATTTCAGTTCGCTATATCACTTAATCATCATCATGTGATCAACTTTCTCAGTCCCTAGATTACTGAATTCCACTGATCATAATTTCTCATTAGATCTTCAGGAATCCTACTCGAAGTTAACCACGAGAGAGTGAATAGTTGTAATCTGATTCTGGGGATAGCATTATTCACATAAGAAAGTTACTTATTTGTATGATTTTTCTACTTTTTACTCTAAAACAGCTTAAAAAGGCTTAGAGTTGCTAAATTCGAAATCGTACGAAGATTTTCTACTTACAGGGTTGTGAAGTCTCGTAATAAAATAAGACAAATGTACAGTTCTTATTAGCTTTCACTTGTTAGTCAGCTGATATAAGACCGTGATGAAAAATAAATTTTCTTAAGTTGTAATAATAACTTCAATGAATTACATTACATTTGGTTTGTAGTTAGAAGTGGAAAACTGGATTCGCATTTAATCTTATTTGAGACTCTGGTTGTATGTACATGCATCTCAGTTTTGATGTTCTTATCGAGACTTGTAAATCCAGGCTATATCGAGACAATCAACTCGGGACACATATACAGCAACAGAGATTGGTTAATCTCTGTTTCGATTGTCAATAACGGAATATTACATAACCTTTATTAATCAATTTAATCATGTTTATTTTCTTAATTAGGATCGCCATGTAATTATTACTGCTCTTATAATGTTCACAGAAGTTTTACTAATTTATGAAAGCCTCCTAAATTAATTTCTAAATAGTTTTGTTAAAAATTGTGGATATAAATAAGACAAGAACGATATTATTTGTTGAATATGATCAGTTAATTGTGTTTTGTTATTCATCAGATTGAAGCACTGAGAATGAATAATTGAAGTATAATTAAAATTAAAATTAATTCCTCGGTATACGTTATTCTTTAATACCCAATTATGTTAATACTTGTCAAGAAATCTTTAGATAACGTAAAAGGTTATTTTGCACATAGATATTATATTTTGAAGTTTATGCTAATGATTACTTTGTAATGGTAACAAGAACTAAATGATTAATCCATCTCCAAGATCTTAATACTTTCAGAAAGGTGCTTAGAATGGTTAAACAATTTACAGTGATAGTAATGATAAATATTTAGAGGCTACTGAACAATACTAATTGATTACCAAGTATGAATCGATGTTATATCATCTAATTCTCAGTGCTAATCTAATTCCTTCACTTTTTAGACTCATCAATAGCGAGAAGTCGGTACCCTTCCAGGACATGAATTCAGGACACATTAATTTGTTTTACAGAATCCATTATCAATACTATTATTATTATTAAACCGGTGAGTTAAAACCCAGCAGCCCATAATTCAAAAATCGGTAAATTCACAACGTAATATTACAGTTATTTGATGCTCTTAATAAGGAACTATCTCACTCAAACATGAACAATTGATCTATAAATCAATGAAAAGAAGTATGTATTAAAGCAGCATTACAAGAAAGTGTTTTTCTGACTACAATTATAAAATTATAACAAGGAAAATCTATCTCACTATTATTAGTGGTTGCAGCAGCTAAAGTTCCATTATTTAAATACATAATTATAGAAATAATTATTTTTAAAAATATTCAGATAGGTTTAGAATAGACATTTTAGTTCACTTTTATCATTCACTGACTACATGAAAAATAACATCATTCAAATAATCATTGAACTATTATAATGAATGAATACAGTATATATGTATTTATAATGGATGCAAGATCTATTGATTGAGTTGACCTGAATTGTAACCCATTTATTTGGTAGTCAGAATGCCCCTGAGTGAAAAGATAATAATTGAGAGAACGACTAAACAGTTAAAAGTTGTTTCTTCTAGCAGTATATTACATGTACAAAACAGTAAACACAAAAAACCATTACGATTAAAGTTGTTTAGAGCAAAAATAAGTCTAATATATCAGTGTTGTAGGATTAGCTAATGCCATATTATGATTTGACTGCATACTTATTTTCACCCTAACAAATTATGAATATTTATTCGAAATAAAAATTATGATAACAAAGAGAAGATTCGAGACAATTTAAAGAAATAAAAACAATTCTTTTTGAATTCTAAACAAATCTTATGAGAACATGATTAGGTTTACTGTTTGTTTAATTAGAATAGAACACAATGATTGTTCTTCATGAGATATTGTGTTTGTTAATTTGTTGATAACTTTGTAGTTCACATTTTACAACTTTTAAATTACAAATACTTGTGAATTACTGATTAGTAATATGCTAATGTCCAACAATTACTTTGTTCTATTTCATGAGTTACTGTTACTACTAATACTACTGTGGTGTGTGTTACTGATGTCAATGGATATGAGTAGTATGCATCATCAGTCGAAAGTGCAACTCCTGAAGGCAGAAGGTTAGGAAGGTCTAAGACAAGAGTTCGAGGACATAGAATGGTAGCTGTGGAAATGGAAGAACCATGAAGTCTGAGACGATTGATTGACACTATGCAAATTAGGTATTTACTGTATGGTACTCAAATTACTACTACTACTACTACTACTACTACTACTACTACTACTACTACTACTACTACTACTACTACTACTACTACTACTACTACTACTACTACTACTACTACTACTACTACTACTACTACTACTACTACTACTACTACTACTACTACTACTACTACTACTACTACTACTACTACTACTACTACTACTACTACTACTACTACTACTACTACTACTACTACTACTACTACTACTACTACTACTACTACTACTACTACTACTACTACTACTACTACTACTACTACTACTACTACTACTACTACTACTACTACTACTACTACTACTACTACTACTACTACTACTACTACTACTACTACTACTACTACTACTACTACTACTACTACTACTACTACTACTACTACTACTACTACTACTACTACTACTACTACTACTACTACTACTACTACTACTACTACTACTACTACTACTACTACTACTACTACTACTACTACTAGTAAAATTTCGTCAAATATCTGTAACCAATATCACAACTTCTCATTCTCATTGGCGGTCAAGTTGCTATATGACTCTAATTTCTTATAATAGGGATATTATTCAGATATAGAATGAAGTCAAGCCCTCTTGTTGAACACAAAATTCAACTGATTCTTGTTGTAGCTGGACATCGAAGATAACTGTATTGAACCGTATTGGTTTTGTTAATATCAGCCAATTTTGTCTAAAAGGTTAAATTCACTTTTATCAAAAGTTTGATTAATACTGGAATATATCATGCATATGACCTTTCTGAAGTAATATTAATTGGTTATTTTATGATCATTAAGCTACTTTCCAAAAATTTAGGAACATTAATACGCTTTACAAAATTATCTGTTTTCGTACTGTATAATTTCTAAATAGTAAAAAAAACTTTTCCATTATTGTACAATCTTTTTGTTACAGTTTTTTCTGTTCCAAAATACTCTTATTCGATTTGGTTGGTCCAGGGCTGAAATGATAAATGTTCTAAATGCACTTTCGTAATAAGCTGAATTCTGATGAAAGCCATTGAAGTAATGCAATCACTATAAATATGTTTCATCCTAGTTTAGGATTTGTTCGCAAAAATACCTATTATTTCTTATGAACGAACTCGGGCGAATCAAATTTCATTATGGGCATATTAAGTTAAAAGCATTAAGTTGAAGTCACTCGGTCCACATCTTCAATTTGTGACAAAGTACTGTCTTTATTTCTTGATAACACTATGTAATTGCTTCACGTTCTACGTGATTAATCTCACAGATCATCAGTAAACTAATAGAAATCCCTTTGAAAGTTAGTCATTTGTAAGCAGATGGTCTTTATTTACTGCCGTGATTTCGTAATCACCACTGACATTGCATGTTGAAATCGCTATTTCATAATGACTGAAGATGAAGATATGGATCATCCGATTATAAACATATTCAAAATGTTAACTGAAGATCCTACACTCGGTCTCATGAGCAGTCATTAGTGTACGTTGCTGAAGAGTCCATAATCAGAATTAAATAGCTATGTAATACTACATGGTATTTAATGATATTTTAATTCACAGAGAAGCAATACCAGATAGTGAAGTCATTTTCTCAAATTTATTTCAACCAAATACTCAACAACCAATTAACTGTCAATTTTGACATTTGATCTAGCTTCTACTGTCTGAAGTTTATTATGTCAATCAATTGTCAAATTTACATAACTTGAAAGTTTTATTTAGTGAATGATAGTGTCATATAAATCAAATGACCGAATGATCACACGAATAAAATTCATATCCTCAAACAGATTTTTAAAAAAAAACACTTCAGGAAGAATAACCATAGTGATAAAGCCATGTAAATATATCAAAATGTTTCTTTTTTCAAAAAGCCTACTAAAATTTTAGTTGAAAGCTTGTACTACAAAAAAACTAGGTAAATAAACATCTTTATTTGAAAGAACCGTAAAAGTAACTACCTTTCTTCGCATAGATCATTTTTAGACTGGTAGTTGTTTAACAAGTCAATTGTTTACACGTAAAATGGTGGTGGTTAGTAAACTAACGCGTTCGAAACTAAATATGTGTGAAAATATTTTTTAGGGGGAGAAAGTTACTCGTGGTTTTGATTTTTTTCTGTGACATTACTTCTACTTTGATTCGTATCTGATTTCGTGAGTTCATAAAATTACCTATCACAAGAATTCACAACAAATTTTGTTAAAGTCAGCTAAACAGTAAGGAAAAGATTTGTTTTATGTCTGTCGACAGCAACAATAACAACGAAAAATCGAATAATTTATTCATTGGCGGAATCTAATTTCTTCCGAACTGTAAAAAATAACAGTTAACTTTTGTCCATATGCTTAGATATCGGTTGTGTATGTACACTTAAATGCATCCATAAGCATATACTGTGATACTACTTACATACTGTAAGATTTAAAAAGTTGTACGCACTTTGGTTTTTCACCCCCAAAGTTACATAAACAGAACTGGTATCCGTCACTCGTTATCGCTTTAAATGACGATTTAACAATAAAAATTGTTTAAGTCACGAATCAGTCAGATCAATACACACAAAATTGTCTAATATTATTTATGAGTTTTTTTTTAATTAAGTAACAAGAAAAAATGAATCAAAGAATTAGCTAATAATTTAGACGGCAATTAACCATTGTTTTAATATATTATTCATTTATTTATATGAACATAAATATTCGTACAAAGGAGCACCAAATACATATGCGCCACACAAGTCAATTGATTTGTGTGTGGGTTGTGATACCTCCCGGGTGTCTAGACCGAAGTAGGTGGTTTCGCTAGGGGCTACATCCGGAGCCGTCGACCTTAAGGTCTAATCCACAAGGTAGTGGAGCAACGTTAGGAAATACAGTCCCTTGGTAGCCGGTGATCAACAATAAGTTCATACGCCACTTTTTCCTCGAAATCCTACAGCTCATGTGCACCAGTGGTTTAAAATCAGGGTTTTTCAACTCCACTGGGTGTACTCTCCGTGTCCACAAACCCGGTTAAAGCGCCAGACATTCGCTTTTCATCTTCTCAATCTCGCATACAAACCCTCGCCACGAGAAGGCAATGAGTAGGACTTCCCTGGAAGAGGCTATATACTCGTGGCCATGTAAGAGCACTTCGAGAGGAATAGAGGACTCTCCCCACTCTTGGCCATACCAGGGCATTTGGGAGCATATATGCTGATGTATATGCAACTGAAAATTTGAACAGGATAAATTTAATTTAATAATTAAGGGGAATATAGAATAAACACACCAGTTCATTGAACAATTTTCAGTCCTAAAACATACAAATCAATTAATATGTAAGAGATCGCCAATCATCCTAAATTAATGTGAACATATTATACACTTCTATAATTATAACGCAAACGAACATAGAGATTCAATCGGCAGATGTAATTAGATTACTGTTTTTAAAAGAATATTTGTAAGTGAATTACCAGAAACTTTCACGACTAACAAAGAGTGAAAATGCAAGTACAAAATTATTTAAATTTTTCTTAATTCTTGAAATCATTTCTTCGGTTTTTTAAACCAGACTTTCACTTGCATAAAATATGGGAACTTTTTAGACGACACAAAATATTTCAAACACCATTTAATATGCTTTAAGTTCAGACTTAAATTATAGAAAAGATATCATTCAAGAAAAGTCATTATTTGTAGAATACTGAACTTTAGAAAATGGCTTTTTTGTTCATTTTTTTTTCTACAATCGTAAAAGATTTCTGAAGGAGATATCGAAAGATAACGGGTTCCGAACCAGAGAAGACAATGGAAGTTCGCTTCCTATATATATGATGAAGAAACGTGAGGTACTTATTTATATGAATAAACTGTTTCCGACCAACCGGAAAAGCATTTATTGACTTGTAGACTACATCCATTTACTTGTGCTTAGTAAATTTTACCAATCATGGATTACTGTTTAGGAGAACCAATTTTACTTATGGATCATTGATAAACTAAATATTATACGCTCAGTGGTAAACTCCTCAATGTTGAACTATAGGACCATAGATTTTGACCTATATCTGATCAAGATTATGCACAATATAAAGGCTTTAAATCAAGTTGAAATACTTTTCATCTATACTCTTCGTTTGATTAATTTACCACTAATTCTAATCAGCAACATACAATGAACTATATCAAAGTTTATATGATAAAATGCTTTATAAATTTATCCACACTAAAACAGTAACTTATCAAATTTTATACAGAACTCTAATCGGTTTCCTTCCTTTCAATATTGATAAATCCATCATAAAAATAAAATAGCCTGCTTCTTTAGTTTCTACTTTCTTTTTCCCCCTTTTTTTTTTCTTTTAATGTTTACTATCATCTTTTTTTTCGAATTGGGAAATTTTGCATTAAATCTTTATTTATTTCTTATTATGATGTAAAAATGAAAATATTTATGCGTATAGATTTCAATTAACATTTAAGTGAAAATTTATTTCTTCATATTTCATTCCATATTGTAAAATATATATATAAAAAAAAAGAAGAAAAAAGAGAGAAAAGAAAGAGAGAAATGAAATGTTGACTCATAAAACAACTATATATTATTTTATTTATTGTGGCTGTCAAATTAACTGCGGCATCTCATAAATAATTCGTTGTTCCTGTTGTATATGTTTAATATGACTAAATCGCATTAATTTTATATAATATAAACTTCAATAGTATTTTTCATGATTAATCAATCAATAGACATTGAATGTTATGTTGCATAAGTTTGAAGAGTTAGAGAGAGAAAAAAAAAGTATATTCAGTTATTTCTTTTAAATAGACTTTTATGGATTCATTGTACTGGAACCCATAATTTGACATTTCTTAGTTGTATTTTTATGATAATCAAAAGGTAATAGATTTAATGCATAGCATTATTAGAATAAAACAATAACAAGCAATGATGGATAGTGGCTAGCAGTGGAATCCAGGACGTGTGTTTCGTTCTATTTTGAACTCGTCAGCTGGATGTGCTTACAAAAAGCTTGTGAATTAAGGGAATATTGTGGCATACGCACAGTATGCACATATGGGAATAATAGACTGATCAATTGCAGTCTTAAACCTAAATGGGAAGATACAAGCCAAACAATACCAAGTGAAAGCGATAACAAATTGGATATTGAATGATTTGAGCTCCTGTTTATAGGACTATTGAGATTCCAGTTGATCATGATGGAAGACATAAGAGTTATCAAGTAAACTGGGTAGAAAAACTAGGGAAATTCTCGCTTTAGTCTATATATACTTCACAGATAACACTGAAATACTTAATTAATTTCCAGGTCAGATCAAATTCTTTCATGATTATGTAAGTCACATTAATAAGTTCTTATATATTCAATATTCCGTAAGGATTTTTATGACAATTTTCTACAGAACTATGTTTTCTGTTGTTGACTACTGTTTCCTGTTTTGATATGATCATTTCGACTTCAGTATAATTTAGATATTTGGAATCAACTACTGAATAAACTAACAGTAGTATGTCGTCATTGAATTAGTAATGTCTAACTGGGAAATTTATA